TCTTTGACCCCCCAGTGTGACATTCCCCCCCACCCCAGGAGAAAAACCCTTAAACCTCCCCATAAACTCCCCCCCATTTTACTTTCTGCCTCCGTGATATCTTGGAATAGGGAATAAAACCCCTTAAACTCCCCCATAAACCCCTTGCCCCGTTAATTCCCACCTCCCTTTTCCCCTGAACCAGGAGAAAACCTCTGGAAACCCCCCCCAGCTCCTCTGTGAACCCCCCCCAAGGATTATTTTTATTGGAGAGGGGGGTTGGTTCCCCACCTTCTCCAGCAGGGCCTTGCGGAGCTTGCGCTCCTCCTGCACCAGGACGAACATCTCCTTGTGGACGGCGGCCGCCAGGTTGAGGTCCAGCTTCTCGGGGCTGGCGGCCATCTTGCAGATCAGCTCCTCGTGGGAGAAGACGCAGTAACGCCGCAGCCGCCGGTAATGCTCGATGCACTGACGGCCCGCCGGCAGCTGCGGGGAGGGGAGGAGAGAGGGGTGGTTAGGAAAGGGACCCCCCCACAATTCTGGGGAGGGGCCACCAGGGGTTAAAAAGGGGCCCCCGACCGATTTTTAGGGGGGCAGACAAGGAAAGGTGGGAAGGCGGGCTGGGAGGGAGGGAGGGGAGCGAAGGGTTAAAGGAGGGAGGGGGGAGGCGGGAAATCACAGCCACTCACTCCTCCAATCACGGGCACCAACTGCCGCCTCCTCCCAATCGCAGCCACTCACTCCCTCCTCCTCCAATCACAGCCCCCCACCCTCCCCTCCAATCACGGCCTCCCGACTCCCACCTCCTCCAATCACAGCCACTCACTCCTCCAATTACAGCCCCCAACTCCCTCCTCCAATCACGGCCTCCGACTCCCTCCTCCTCTAATCACAGCCCTCGACCCTCTCCCCTAAATCACAGCCTCCCGTCTCCTCCAATCGTGGCCTCCAACTCCTCCTCCTCCAATCACGGCCCCCGATTCCCTCCTCCTCCTCCAATCAGAGTGTCCAATCACAGCCATTCACTTCTCCAGCCCTCTACTCCCTCCTCCCCCAATCACAGTGACCCCCTCCTCCCCTCCAATCACAGCCCTCGACCCTCTCTCTCCTCCAATTGCGGCCCCCGACTCCCTCCTCCCCTCCAATCACAGCCCCCAACCCTCTCCTCCAATCACAGCAACCAACTCCCACCTCCTCCAATCACAACCACTGACAACAACTCCTCCTCCAATCACAGCCACCCATTCCCTCCTCCTCCAATCAGTGTCCACTCACAGCCATTGGTTCCTCCAATCACATGGACTCTCTCCTCCAATCACATCCCCCGACTCCCCCCCTCAACTCCCCCAGAGGAGCCTTTCCCACCCCAAACTTTGGATGTTTTTTGGGGTGTTTCCCCCCCGTTTTTTTTGGGGGGGAGGGGTGGGGCGGGGTCTCACCCAATCAGCGGTGCAGAAATTAACGGCCTCGGCGAAGTTGTATCCCTGGTTAAAGCCGCTGTGATAGGCCCTGGGGAAGGTGATGACGAACTCCCCCGCGCACTGGTTGGTCCGCACCACCTGGGGCCGAGGGGCGAGAAGGTGGAAGGTGTGGGGGGGGTGGTGGTTTTTGGGGGTGCTGAGGTGGTTTTTTGAGGGGGGACGCACCCCCCCTGATACTCACGGGGACGCCGTGGGCCATGAGGGTGTTGGGGTTCATGAGGGTGACCAGCTGGTGCAGCAGGTCGGGCTGGCTCTCAAACAGCTCCGGCGTCAGCTTCTTCATCACCTCCTCCAGGTGCTCGGCCGCGAAGGAGGGCACCCCGTACCACGTCTTGGGCTCACCCCTGGGGGGAAGGGAGGGGGTCACAGGGTCAGGGGGCACCCCAAAACCCTACCACCCACGGGGGTGGGGGCACCCCAAAACCTCCCCCCCACCCCGTGCCATGATTTGGGCTCAATTCTGGGGAATACAGGATAAGGAGGACACCAAAACCCCTCTTGCTGGCCTTGGGGTCGCCCCTGGAGGGCACACAGGGTCAGGGGCACCCCAAAATCCTACCAACCCCAGGCAAGGGGGACACCAAAACCCCTATTCCTGGTGTTGGGGTCACCCCTGGGGGGCACACGGGGTCAGGGGCAACCCAAAATCCTACCAACCCCAGGGTGGGGGCACCCCAAAACCTTCTCCAGCCCCATAACCCCTCTCTAATTCATCTCCAGCCCCATAACCCCTCTCTAATTCATCTCTGGGTGGGGGGACCACGTCAGGAGCACCCCAAGAACCTCCTCCAGCCCCATAACCTCCATCTTCTACTCGTCTCTAGTGGGTTGTAGCCCCCCAAAAACCTCCTCCAGCCCCATAACCCTTCTTTAACTCATCTCTAGGTGGTGGGACCAGGTCAGGAGCACCCCAAGAACCTTCCCCAGCCCCATAACCCATCATGAACTTGAACCTGGGAGGTCAGGGACACCCCAAAAACCTCCTCCAGCACCATAAACCATCTTTAACTCATCTCCCCCCCACCCCGTGCCATGATTTGGGCTCAATTCTGGGGAATACAGGATAAGGAGGACACCAAAACCCCTCTTGCTGGCCTTGGGGTCGCCCCTGGAGGGCACACAGGGTCAGGGGCACCCCAAAATCCTACCAACCCCAGGTGGGGGCACCCCAAAACCTTCTCCAGCCCCATAACCGCTCTCTAATTCATCTCCAGCCCCATAACCCCTCTCTAATTCATCTCTGGGTGGTGGGACCACATCAGGAGCACCCCAAGAACCTCCTCCAGCCCCATAACCTCCATCTTCTACTCGTCTCTAGTGGGTTGTAGCCCCCCAAAAACCTCCTCCAGCCCCATAACCCTTCTTTAACTCATCTCTAGGTGGTGGGACCAGGTCAGGAGCACGCCAAGAACCTTCCCCAGCCCCATAACCCATCATGAACTTGAACCTGGGAGGTCAGGGACACCCCAAAAACCTCCTCCAGCACCATAAACCATCTTTAACTCATCTCTAGGTGGTAGGACCAGGTCAGGAGCACCCCAAGAACCTTCCCCAGCCCCATAACCATCATCTCCTTGTCTCTAGGTGGGGGGGCCCCATCCCTCCCCTCCCCAAACCCCCAACCCCAAGCTCCCCACCAGTGGAGGTAGTTGATGGAGTAGCTCCAGTGGTCCTCGATGTGCCAGCAGAAGGCGGAGAAGACCATCCCCACGTAGAGCCAGGGCACCTTCATCCCCGAGATGTCGGCGTTGATGTGACAAAGCACCGACTGCTTCAGCACCGGCATCACGTTCAGGTTCCAGCCGCTGCCCGCGTATTCCTGGGGTTGGGGACAGGGACACACAAAAAGAAAAGGACATTGTCACCTCCCCCGGTGGCTTTGAGAGGTCGGGAGAGACCTTTGGGGTCACCCAGGGAGGGGCAAGTTGAAGGTCTCCAGAGGAGGAGATGCCAAAACCCTCTTCCAGGGCTCTGGGAGCCTCAAAATTAAGAAGTTCTTCCTCATTTTGGGGTTCTGGGGGTGGGGAGGGACCTTTTAGAGCCTTTTTGGGGTCACCCAGGGGGGTGGGACAAGAAGCCGGGGCGGGGGGAACCTCCAGACCCCTCTCCGTGGCCACCAGGCCCCTTCTCTGTGGGGAGTTATGGCGTGTTATGGGGGCTCTAAGGGTTGGCTATGGGGCCCTATGGGTTGGTTATGGGGCTCTACGGGGCTTCACGGGGGTCCTATGGGGTGGTTAGGGGGCCCTATAGTTTAGGGGACGATATGGGGTGTCATGGGGAGCTATGGGGTGCTATTGGGGCCCTATGGGGTGTTGCAGGGGTCCTATGGGGTGTTACAGGTCTCTGTGGGTTGGCTATAGGGCCCTATGGGGCATCATGGGGGTCCTATAGTTTAGGGGACGATATGGGGTGTCATGGGGAGCTATGGGGTGCTATTGGGGCCCTATGGGGTGTTGCAGGTCTCTGTGGGGCGTTTAGGGGGCCCTATGGGGCCTCTATGGGGCAGTTATTTGGGCTCCATCACAGGAAACAGCTCCAGGAGCAGCGCTTTACCCGCCACATTGGAGTGGTGGCAATCTATGGGGCGGGTGCTTTCCCCCCAACTTAGGTGTGGAAGAAGGGGGAGAGGGGGGAGTGAGAAAAATCTATGGGGCAGCCCCACATCCTCCTCACCTCCTCCTCCGGGGAGAGCTTCCTTTTGCCGTCGCTGATGGGGAAGCCGCTGCCGAACTCCTTGGAGTGGATGTCGGCCCCGTACTCCACCGTCACGTCCTCCTCGATGCTGTTCACCAGCCGCCAGAACTCCTTCTCCACCAGCTCCGTGGGCACCATCTGTGGGGCGAACCCCCCCCCCCCAAACTTTTTAGGGGGCTTATGGGGCGGCTGTGGGTCACTGTGGGGTTCGGGGGGCACTCACGTGGACGGGCATGTTGAAATAATCAGCTTTGAAGGAGTCGGCCATCTCCCCGAAGCTCTGCAGGGTGTACTCCCGTGTGGCCTGCTCGAAGCCAAAAGCTTCCGGGGGGCGTTTGCATTCCTATGGGGCAGGGGGGAAATGTGGGTCAGGGGGTGGGGGGAGTCCAGCCCCATAGACGGGACAGAGTCAGCCCCAGCCCCACAGATGCGAAACGGGGGTCACTAAAGCCATAGATGGGAGAGAAGATGGGGGTATCCAGCTCCATAGACACGACATGAAGAGTCCCCAGCCCCACAGATGAGGGTCTCCAGCCCCACAGATGGGGTAGGGTGTTGAGGTGGGGGTCCCCAGCCCCACAGATGGGAAACGGTGGTCGCTAAAGCCATAGACGGGATAAAAGATGGGGGTATCCGGCCCCACAGATGAGATAGGATGTTGAGTCAGGGGTTCCCAGCCCCACAGATGGGGGTCCCTGGCCCCACAGATGTCACAGATGAGGGTCTCCAGCCCCATAGATGGGGTAGGGTCATCCCCAGCCCCACAGAGGAGAAACGGGGGTCACTAAGGCCATAGATGGGATAGAAGATGGGGGTATCCAGCTCCACAGACGTGACATGAGAGTCCCCAGCCCCACAGATGGGGGTCCCTAGCCCCACAGATGGGACAGGCCACAAGTTGGGGATCCCCAGCCCCACAGATAGGACATGGGGGGTCCCCAGCCCCACAGATCTCCAGGACATGACACGAGACAGAGGATCCCACACCCCCCTCAGACAGACGGGACCCGAAGCGAGATGGGGCCCCCCCAGCCCCACACACGAGCCGCCCCAGGCGCCGCTATGGGTCCCGCCGTGGGTCCCGGTGGGTCCTCACCGCCATGACGCATTTGGGGCAGCGCCAGACGCCTTTGGGGATCTCAGGCAGGGGGGGCAGGAGGCAGAAGATGTGATAGTTGTCATCGCAGCCGTCGCAGAGCAGCAGCTTGTCGTCCTCGTCCCCCCGCGAGCAGATGCGGCAGACGTAGGAATCCACCTGGGGGAGAGGGGAAAAGGGGGGGGGTTCACTTGGGGGGCTGAGCCCCACGGCGAGGGGGTTTCCCCCCCCCCCGCAGCCCCCCTGGCACTCACGAATTGGCTGTTGCTGTGGCTGCGGCGCAGGCGCATGGTCATTTTGGTGCAGGGCTCGGGGCTGTGGGGCTCCATAGACGTGACATGAAGAGTCCCCAGCCCCACAGATGAGGGTTTCTGGCCCCACAGATGGGGCAGGGTGTTGAGGTGGGGGTCCCCAGCCCCACAGATGAGGGTTTCTGGCCCCACAGATGGGGCAGGGTGTTGAGGTGGGGGTCCCCAGCCCCACAGATGAGGGTTTCTGGCCCCACAGATGGGGCAGGGTGTTGAGGTGGGGGTCCCCAGCCCCACAGATGAGGGTTTCTGGCCCCACAGATGGGGCAGGGTGTTGAGGTGGGGGTCCCCAGCCCCACAGATGAGGGTTTCTGGCCCCACAGATGGGGCAGGGTGTTGAGGTGGGGGTCCCCAGCCCCACAGATTGGAAACGGGGGTCGCTAAGGCCATAGATGGGATAGAAGATGGGGGTATCCAGCTCCACAGACGTGACATGAGAGTCCCCAGCCCCACAGATGGGGGTCCCTAGCCCCACAGATGGGACAGGCCACAAGTTGGGGATCCCCAGCCCCACAGATAGGACATGGGGGGTCCCCAGCCCCACAGATCTCCAGGACATGACACGAGACAGAGGATCCCACACCCCTCAGACAGACGGGACCCGAAGCGAGATGGGGCCCCCCCAGCCCCACACACGAGCCGCCCCAGGCGCCGCTATGGGTCCCGCCGTGGGTCCCGGTGGGTCCTCACCGCCATGACGCATTTGGGGCAGCGCCAGACGCCTTTGGGGATCTCAGGCAGGGGGGGCAGGAGGCAGAAGATGTGATAGTTGTCATCGCAGCCGTCGCAGAGCAGCAGCTTGTCGTCCTCGTCCCCCCGCGAGCAGATGCGGCAGACGTAGGAATCCACCTGGGGGAGAGGGGAAAAGGGGGGGGGTTCACTTGGGGGGCTGAGCCCCACGGCGAGGGGGCGAATTGGCTGTTGCTGTGGCTGCGGCGCAGGCGCATGGTCATTTTGGTGCAGGGCTCGGGGCTGTGGCGAAGCTCCTCTTTGCCCTCCGCGTACCAGGGGGGGGACGTGGGGGGCGGCTTGACCTCGGGGGGCGGGGGCTCCTCCTTCACCACCACCGTGGGGGGGCACTCGGGGCCATCTTTATCTGTGGGGAGAGGAAACAATTAGCAGGGGGGGACACACACACCCCCCACAACCAGCCCCTATGGGGTGTTACAGGGGTCCTATGGGGTGTTATTTGGGCTCCATGGGGTGTCATGGGGGCCTTATGGGGTACAATGGGGGTGTCATGGGTGCCCTATGGGGTGTTATCGGGGCCCTATGGGGTGGTAGAGGAGTTCTATGGGGTGTTATGGGGATCTATGGGGTGTTAGAGGGGTTCTACGGGGCTCCATGGGTTGGTTATGGGGCCCTATGGCGTGTCGTGGGGGTTCTATGGGGCCCTATGGATTGGTTGTGGGGCCCTATGGGGTGTCGTGGGGGTTCTATGGGGCCCTATGGATTGGTTGTGGGGCCCTGTGGGGTGTTATGGGTTGGTTATAGGGCCCTATGGGGCACGATGGGGGTCCTATGGGGGCTTAGGGGGGTTCTATGCAGCCCTAGGGGCTGGTTATGGTGCCCTATGGGTCGCTATGGGTCCCTGTGGATCCCATGGGTCTCTATGGGTTGTTATGGGTCCCTATGGGGTGCCCTTCATGTCCCCTCTCCCCCCTGGAGAAACCCCCACCTCCTCCCCTTCTAGTTTTCCCTCTTCCAGCCCAAAAAAAACAATGGGGTAAAAAGTGGCCGGATGAGGCAAAAAAAAATGCCCAAAAATGGGCAATAACTGGGAAGAAGGGGGAGGAGACTGACTAATTAGAGACTTAATTAGACCCTCCCCCCCTTTGTTAGATTAATTAAAGGATTTAACGACTTTGAACCAAAACGAGAAAGTGATAAAAATGGTTAAAATAAGGGATTAAGCACTAATTATTACTAAATATGGGTATTTTGGGGGTTTAGGGTTCCCACCCCCCACCCAAATAAATTAATTAATTAAGGTTAAGTAGAGTTAATTTTCACTTTGGTTAAAAGAAGGGGGGCGGAACCCCTTCCCTCTTTTTGAAAGAGGGGAAACCCCCTCATTTGGCTCCTTCATGAATTTCAGCCAATTCTGGGGAATTGGCGGCCGCAATGGTGAATTCCGGATTTTTATTTTTTTTTTTTTTCCCATTTCTGGGGTGTTTTACCCCAAAAGCCCCCCTCCCCGTTCCCATGGCAACGCACCCTTCTTGCGCAGAGCCTTGTCCTTGGCCACCAGCCCCAGCCCCAGCATTTTGGGGCCAGCCCCATAGATCTGCAGCTTCTTCAGCTCCGGGTTCTTCTCAATGTCCTCCTCCGTGGGCTCCGGCTGCACAGGAGAGGGGAAAAGGGGGGGGGTTTGGTAAAATTGAGGGGAAAATGAGGGTTTGGGAATAAAGATGAGGGAAAATGGTTTTTTTTTGTGGTAAAGTTGAAGGGAAAAGGGGGTGTGTGTGGTAAAACGGAGCGAAAAATGGTTTTTTTGTGGTAAAACGGAGTGAAACATGGGGTTTTTGTAGTAAAATGGAGCAAAAAATGGGGGGGGTGTGGTGTGGTAAAGTTGAGGGGAAAATGGGCCTTTTTGTGGTAAAACTGAGAGGAAAAGGCCAGGGTTTTTGGTAAAGTTGAGTTTAAAAGGGGGATATTTTGGTAAAATGGAGTGAAAACCAGGCTTTTTTTGTGGTAAAACGGAGTGAAAACCAGACTTTTCACTCCCATTTTACCACAAAAAACTGGGCTTTTTTCTGGTAAAGCTGCATTAGCTCACGAATTGGCTGTTGCTGTGGCTGCGGCGCAGGCGCATGGTCATTTTGGTGCAGGGCTCGGGGCTGTGGCGAAGCTCCTCTTTGCCCTCCGCGTACCAGGGGGGGGACGTGGGGGGCGGCTTGACCTCGGGGGGCGGGGGCTCCTCCTTCACCACCACCGTGGGGGGGCACTCGGGGCCATCTTTATCTGTGGGGAGAGGAAACAATTAGCAGGGGGGGCCCCGTTCCCATGGCGACGTACCCTTCTTGCGCAGAGCCTTGTCCTTGGCCACCAGCCCCAGCCCCAGCATTTTGGGGCCAGCCCCATAGATCTGCAGCTTCTTCAGCTCCGGGTTCTTCTCAATGTCCTCCTCCGTGGGCTCCGGCTGCACAGGAGAGGGGAAAAGGGGGGGGGTTGGTAAAATTGAGGGTTTGGGAATAAAGATGAGGGAAAATGGGGTTTTTTTGTGGTAAAGTTGAAGGGAAAAGGGGGTGTGTGTGGTAAAACGGAGCTAAAAATGGGGTTTTTTGTGGTAAAATGGAGTGAAAAATGGGTTTTTGTAGTAAAATGGAACAAAAAATGGGGGGTGTGTGGTGTGGTAAAGTTGAGGGGAAAACGGCCTTTTTTGTGGTAAAACTGAGAGGAAAAGGCCAGGTTTTTTGGTAAAGTTGAGTTTAAAAGGGGGATATTTTGGTAAAATGGAGTGAAAACCAGGCTTTTTTTGTGGTAAAACGGAGTGAAAACCAGACTTTTCACTCCCATTTTACCACAAAAAACTGGGCTTTTTTCTGGTAAAGCTGCATTAGAAAGTGGGGTCTTGTGGTAAAACTGTGTTAAAAAGGAGGTTTCAGTGGCAAAACTGCATTAAAAAGGGGGTTCTTGTGGTAAAATTGCGTTAAAAAGGGGATTCTTGTGGTAAAATTGCGTTAAAAAGGGGATTCTTGTGGTAAAACTGTGTTAAAAAGGAGGTTTCGGTGGCAAAACTGCGTTAAAAAAGGGGGTTCGGTGGCAAAACTGCGTTAAAAAGGGGGTTCTTGTGGTAAAACTGCGTTAAAAAGGGGATTCTTGTGGTAAAACTGTGCTAAAAAGGAGGTTTCGGTGGCAAAAAAGGGGGTTCGGTGCATTAAAAAGGGGGTTCTTGTGGTAAAATTGCATTAGAAAGTGGGGTCTTGTGGTAAAACTGTGTTAAAAAGGAGGTTTCGGTGGCAAAACTGCGTTAAAAAGGGGGGTTTGGTGGCAAAACTGCGTTAAAAAGGGGGTTCTTGTGGTAAAACTGTATTATAAAGGTGTGTTTTTTTGTAAAATTAGTGGTTTTGGGGGGGTCTTACCTCTTGCTGCAGGCGCTTGGCCCGTCGGCCGTAGGTGTTGAACTTGGGGGGCTGGAGGGACTGTCGGAGGGGGATGCTGTGGGGCTTGTACTCCCGGTCCTTCTCCTCGCTCTCGAAAGGCCGCGGGTTACACTGCTAAAATTAAAAAAAACAACCCCAAAATTGAGAAAACCCTCTCAAACTACACCCTCCCCACCCAAAAAAAAAAAAAAAAAAAAAAAAGATTTTCCCCAAAAAAAAAAAAAGGATTTTCTCCCCTTTTGGGGTCCCGTTTCACTCACCGCCAGGTTGGCCCCCGACTGGTACATCTCGTAGGGGTAAATGATGCGCTCGTAATGAGCCCGCAGTAACGAGCCGATGTTCTTCCCCGAGGGATAAGCCAACCTCTGGGCCACCCGCGCCCAACGCCGGTCCTTACAGATGGCTTCGTAACCCCCTTCCTCCATCACCACCTTGGGGCAAAAAAACCCACATTAAACACCCCCCTCCAAAATTCATACCCCCCCTTCATTAAAATTGAGTTAAAAAGTGCGGGATTTTGTGGTGAAGTTGAGCGGAAAAGGGGCGTTTCTTGGTAAAGCTGAGGGAAAAAAGGGCACTTCTTGGTAAAGTTGAGGGAAAAAAAAAAGAGCATTTTTGTGGTAAAATGGAATTAAAACAGGCGTTTGAGTATCAAAGAGAGATTTTTTGGTAATATTAAGTAGAAAACAGGGTTTATTATGGCAAAGTTGAGTAAAAAAGGGGCATTTTTGTGGTAAAATGGAATTAAAACAGGCGTTTTGGGGGTAAAACTGAGTATCAAAGAGAGGTTTTTTGGTAACATTAAGTAGAAAATGGGGTTTATTATGGCAAAGTTGAGTAAAAAAGGGGCGTTTTTGTGGTAAAATTGAGTTAAAAGCAGGAGGGGGTAAAGCCGAAGGAAAAAGGGGGGAGTTTTTGGTAAAACTGAGTTAAAAAGCAGGTTTTGTTAGTGAAGTTGAATGAAAAAGGGGCCGTTTTGTGCTTAAATGGAGTTAAAACAGGCATTTTGGGGAAAAATGAGTTTCAAAGAGGGTTTTTTTGGTAAAATTCAGTAGAAAATGGGGTTTCTTATGATAAAGTTGAGTGAAAAATTTTTGTGGTAAGATTGAGTTAAAAGGGGGGGTTGGTAAAGTTGAAGGAAAAAGGGAGGTTTTTTGGTAAAACTGAGTTAATAAGCAGGTTTTGTTGGTGAAGTTGAGCGAAGAAGGACGTTTTGTTGGTAAAGTTGAGTGAAAAATGGGGAGTTTGGTAAAACTGGGTGAAAAAGGGGCGCGTTTTTGTGGTAAAACTGGGTGAAAAAGGGGTGCGTTTTTGTGGTAAAACTGAGCGAAAAAGGGGTGCGTTTCTGTGGTAAAACTGAGCGAAAAAGGTTGTTTTTTTTTTGTTAAACCAAGTGAAAAAGAGCATTTTTGTAGTAAACTCATTAACCCATTTCCAAACCCCGCCAAGACCTTGCTGAGGCTGTACAGGTCCAGGATGCGCCGCTCGACGTTGGGGATTTTGAGGGAAGAACCTTGGATTTCCCAAAATTTGGCGATCTGGTCCAGGTAGTTCAGCTTCACGCGGGTCTGCGCCTGAGGGTGGAGAGGAGGGCACAAAAAAAAGGGGAGTTAGGCCCAAAAATCATCGAGGGGGGAGAAATATGGGGGGGTTCCCCCCCCACCCCACACTTTTACTCACCTCCAGCTCGTTCAGGCGCTGGATGCGGGGGGTGAATCGGAAGTTGTCGACTTCCACCCACAAAAAACTGGGCTTTTTTCTGGTAAAGCTGCATTAGAAAGTGGGGTCTTGTGGTAAAACTGTGTTAAAAAGGAGGTTTCGGTGGCAAAACTGCATTAAAAAGGGGGTTCTTTTGGCAAAACTGCATTAAAAAGGGGGTTCTTGTGGTAAAATTGCGTTAAAAAGGGGATTCTTGTGGTAAAATTGCGTTAAAAAGGGGATTCTTGTGGTAAAACTGTGTTAAAAAGGAGGTTTCGGTGGCAAAACTGCGTTAAAAAAGGGGGTTCGGTGGCAAAACTGCGTTAAAAAGGGGGTTCGGTGGCAAAACTGTGTTAAAAAGGGGATTCTTGTGGTAAAACTGTGCTAAAAAGGAGGTTTCGGTGGCAAAAAAGGGGGTTCGGTGCATTAAAAAGGGGGTTCTTGTGGTAAAATTGCATTAGAAAGTGGGGTCTTGTGGTAAAACTGTGTTAAAAAGGAGGTTTCGGTGGCAAAACTGCGTTAAAAAGGGGGGTTTGGTGGCAAAACTGCGTTAAAAAGGGGGTTCTTGTGGTAAAACTGTATTATAAAGGTGTGTTTTTTTGTAAAATTAGTGGTTTTGGGGGGGTCTTACCTCTTGCTGCAGGCGCTTGGCCCGTCGGCCGTAGGTGTTGAACTTGGGGGGCTGGAGGGACTGTCGGAGGGGGATGCTGTGGGGCTTGTACTCCCGGTCCTTCTCCTCGCTCTCGAAAGGCCGCGGGTTACACTGCTAAAATTAAAAAAAACAACCCCAAAATTGAGAAAACCCTCTCAAACTACACCCTCCCCACCCAAAAAAAAAAAAAAAAAAAAAAAGGATTTTCTCCCCTTTTGGGGTCCCGTTTCACTCACCGCCAGGTTGGCCCCCGACTGGTACATCTCGTAGGGGTAAATGATGCGCTCGTAATGAGCCCGCAGTAACGAGCCGATGTTCTTCCCCGAGGGATAAGCCAACCTCTGGGCCACCCGCGCCCAACGCCGGTCCTTACAGATGGCTTCGTAACCCCCTTCCTCCATCACCACCTTGGGGCAAAAAAACCCACATTAAACACCCCCCTCCAAAATTCATACCCCCCCTTCATTAAAATTGAGTTAAAAAGTGCGGGATTTTGTGGTGAAGTTGAGCGGAAAAGGGGCGTTTCTTGGTAAAGCTGAGGGAAAAAAGGGCACTTCTTGGTAAAGTTGAGGGAAAAAAAAAAGAGCATTTTTGTGGTAAAATGGAATTAAAACAGGCGTTTGAGTATCAAAGAGAGATTTTTTGGTAATATTAAGTAGAAAACAGGGTTTATTATGGCAAAGTTGAGTAAAAAAGGGGCATTTTTGTGGTAAAATGGAATTAAAACAGGCGTTTTGGGGGTAAAACTGAGTATCAAAGAGAGGTTTTTTGGTAACATTAAGTAGAAAATGGGGTTTATTATGGCAAAGTTGAGTAAAAAAGGGGCGTTTTTGTGGTAAAATTGAGTTAAAAGCAGGAGGGGGTAAAGCCGAAGGAAAAAGGGGGGAGTTTTTGGTAAAACTGAGTTAAAAAGCAGGTTTTGTTAGTGAAGTTGAATGAAAAAGGGGCCGTTTTGTGCTTAAATGGAGTTAAAACAGGCATTTTGGGGAAAAATGAGTTTCAAAGAGGGTTTTTTTGGTAAAATTCAGTAGAAAATGGGGTTTCTTATGATAAAGTTGAGTGAAAAATTTTTGTGGTAAGATTGAGTTAAAAGGGGGGGTTGGTAAAGTTGAAGGAAAAAGGGAGGTTTTTTGGTAAAACTGAGTTAATAAGCAGGTTTTGTTGGTGAAGTTGAGCGAAGAAGGACGTTTTGTTGGTAAAGTTGAGTGAAAAATGGGGAGTTTGGTAAAACTGGGTGAAAAAGGGGCGCGTTTTTGTGGTAAAACTGGGTGAAAAAGGGGTGCGTTTTTGTGGTAAAACTGAGCGAAAAAGGGGTGCGTTTCTGTGGTAAAACTGAGCGAAAAAGGTTGTTTTTTTTTTGTTAAACCAAGTGAAAAAGAGCATTTTTGTAGTAAACTCATTAACCCATTTCCAAACCCCGCCAAGACCTTGCTGAGGCTGTACAGGTCCAGGATGCGCCGCTCGACGTTGGGGATTTTGAGGGAAGAACCTTGGATTTCCCAAAATTTGGCGATCTGGTCCAGGTAGTTCAGCTTCACGCGGGTCTGCGCCTGAGGGTGGAGAGGAGGGCACAAAAAAAAGGTGAGTTAGGCCCAAAAATCATCGAGGGGGGAGAAATATGGGGGGGTTCCCCCCCCACCCCACACTTTTACTCACCTCCAGCTCGTTCAGGCGCTGGATGCGGGGGGTGAATCGGAAGTTGTCGACTTCCAC